CTTATTGTTGAGGTATGGAGCTTTGTACGGCCACCGCGATTCGCCATGCCTAGGTAAGGCTTGTTCCGAGCGGCTGTCACGAGTGTGTTAATTACGTTTCGGGGTCACTTTACAATAGTTTCGGAGACTTTGTTTTTCAGACACAGCCATCTAGTTGGCTTCCCTCTCACAGCTTGATATTTCCAATCTTATTTTCAGAGATGGAGTATCGGATGGGATACGGTGGATGCTCGACAAGGTTAAAAAGAACGCTCATCAACGACCGCCCTCACAAGAAGACATTGCCTAACTGTGATATCAGACCGCCACATGTGATAGACAAGAACATTAACTCTTTCAATGTACGACTGTATATAAATATGAATATATATAAAATGCTCGAACATCTATTTGGAGACATTTAGTAGTGCGTTTGGATTGACCCGTTGAGCTGACCTGATGCCAGACGCGTGGCCGCAGCTAAACGCAGTCGCTGTCGCGCTTTCTGGCTCATTTGGATGGAACTAAACGGAAGGGAAAAGAGAATAGTGCGTATATGGTGTCAGTTGTGGCACAGGCACATTCTGAACGCAGTTCGTCTTCCAAATAAAACCCCGGGCGATTTTATCTCAGAGATCCACAAGAATAACCTGAACAGGCGGTTCGGTGGCAGCAACATGGAAGCAGTACACAAAATGCGGTGTTATGTGCAAAGAAACACTTGTTCACAATCGTAAAAGCTAAGCTTGATTATATCCTTAGACTCAAACAGATAAGATCAACGTATTATTGTAGGCATGAATGGTTGCCATCGATTAACTATATTCTACTGAACTAGACAGTCGTTTACGCATTTGTTCCTCACGAATGGCACACACAACCCAACACAACGGAAACCTTGTAGACAAATAACGAATCGTTCATTCCTTATTCAGTAGATTCAGCGCTTTAAAATCCTAAGAGTATCAAAGTTCTGTGTGTTGAGCTGTACTAAAATGACTGGTTTAGAGAGGACTAGACAAACTGGTGTCATGGGTATGGCTTGCGGCGCCCAACTTTTATAAGCCGCAGACTAAAGTGAATTCAGGGAGGCGTGAAAGTTAGCCCTTTGGAGTACAGTAGCTTAGCGACAGCCAGGCCTACCATGTGTTGTCGACAGTGATAATAAATCCGTCGTCCACATGTCGGATCCAAAGATTTGAGTGGATCCGGTTAAATTCAGCGGATTCCAGTTATGATCTTCCGACTTCTGCAATTCGTTCTGATGATGGTGATCTCATGGGTTTTCCTCCCATTTCTTGGAATACCTATTAATCAAAGTTGACGTCCATAGTCATGCATAGGTCTAAGGGTCTTCCTGAGCTTTCTGGCTTCATAGTCCTTGATGGGCCACTTGAAATATACCGATAACTGGAAAGAACACCCGTAAAATCACCATTATCAGGACTAGCTACGGAAGTTGTAGAGCAGAAATTTGGGTGCGTTACATTATCATAGACTAAACAGAGTCTTTGGATCCAATTTATGGACAACACGTCAAAAGAAATTCGACGGAAAAGACGCGCGAACTGATAAATAGGAGAGAGAGAGAGAGATAGCTCACTGGTTAAGGCGGACCCGAGTATCGGTCCTCGACTACTCCTGTCTCACACCATCTGAGCCCTCGTGCCTGGCACGGCAGCTGGGTGCCGAAAGGGTGTTTCAGCTGAGTGATTGTTTTTTAGATTTGGGGACATCAAGATTACATTTGGACCGAAAAGAGACAATAAACTGTCTTTCTTGGGTGTACTGGCTCATAGGGTTACCAGTGAAACAATTCACACTTGTGTACATTGTAAAGAAACTTAGGTTGGACGACTACCAACCATCCGATGAATCTAAATTGCATTCGAAGTCTGTTCAAAAGACCAGAAACACATTGCTCCGAAAACATTTATACTGAGTGTCAGAGAACGACAGACATCCAAGAAGTTTCATCGGGGTAAGTTTGAAGAAAAGGATGTTTCTGCAACAAGAAGGATGGGCAAGCAAACAAATAGTTGCCTTGCACCGAAAATGTATTTGATCTGAAAGTAAGCATACTGAAACCACATGGAGTTTCAGTATCCCACGAATCGAGTGCCACCTTGAGAAGATAGGGTAACCAAAAATGTTATCTACAGTATAAAAATGAACAAGCAAAACACTGGACGGAACGAAAAGAGGCTATCTATACGGTTATCCGAACATAGGACGGAGACACAAGAAGGTATTATTTACTCTGTTTTCTTGAGGGCAAACACTACTCATGAACAAAACTTAGCTGGGATTGTCGAGTCTCCCGTCCAAACCAAAGCAGTTTGCGAATGGGACAGGTTTGTGAATGGGGGCGTGGGAAGCAACGGACTTCACGGAGAACTAAATCAAACGACACGTTGAAACCGACTCAATCTGTGCCTTCCTGAGACCAAGAAGTCACCAACTCAACCGGATAACACAAACGAAGCCAAGCACAGACGATAGGACCAGTTGTAGGATTAAGCCGTGGAAGACCACAGAGTACGAATCGAACGGGTCGAACTCAAAGGTCACTCAGGATCTGAGCAAACAATTCAATCAGTAACAGCTCAATAAAGCAACCAGTCATAATCGAAGGTCATCCCTCCTCAGAAGCAAGTATTTAATTTGCGCACATCACTACTCAAGGTAAAAGTACCGGGACACAGCTCCGTTCCGCTTCACATGAACCTACTAACGATTTCACCCCGATTGGTGAGAGAACGGTTAGAACCAAATTACCAAGCTCAGCGAACAATTCGACCAACCAAAGAACTGCAAAGCATCCGGACTTCGGTGGGCCAAAGTTTCTAGGTTCAAATGAAGAGTGCTTCATTGTGGCTCAAGACTGTCCGTCTTGTTTTTCACTTAGTAGGTTGCGTAATCTCCCTGGTCATCAAACTGTAAAGTGAATGGACTCGATGCAATGTGGTACTAAATGTCCTTACTTTGCTATGAACTGCTGCTGAAAAATGGACTGGCATGTTTCGTATGCGTGTCTCTCGCATAGCCATTGTTGGGGTGCTGATTCATCAAAGTAAAAAAGCGATATCTGGGAGCTTGTGTTCCCACTAGCCAACTTCGTCCAAGCATCAAAAACAAAGTAATCAAGATGTTTAACTGGTTTGGTGAAATTCAATATGTCGGGCGAAAACTCACTCTAGATGGTCTCCGAACTGTCGAAGACAGTTGGTAGCAGCCCATGTTAAGGTAGCATAGACCCGCCACGGCAAAGTTGGATCAGACGCGAGGCGGTAATATGACAGGTTACAGATATCTTCCGCCTTGCACGCAGCAACTGGGTTCATGTAGGGGGTCAATCGCGCAGAAACCGGTGAGTCTGAGGCGGGAAGTTCACCCGATAATCCAGGGCTATTTGAAAGCTCATCCTCTGGCATCGGGTAGACATTTGATCCCACATCTTTGGTCAGTAAACCGACGAGACGCAAGTGTCGCTCCACAACCTACAGAATGAAGAAACAGTACATAGCGATTCAATTCTATTTGAAACTAAACAGCATTATGAGTAGGACAGTGAGTTTGTCCGTGCTTGCGAACAAAGGTAAACTCGTGTTCCTGAGTAATGAAGTTGACGATTTGTACTCCTTACTCTGCATTCACATCAGAATCCAGTGCAAAGTTACTTGACATTATCCGGGAAGCCCGACTGAGCGACGGCCACAGTCGAGAAGTCTTCAGATTTGTCAGTAAATTGCGGTACTACATTCAAAGAAATACGCATGCAAAAGATACAAACCTCGAATCATGGAGATTCCCGTCTGATTGTTTGACGGATTGGTACAAGCCCAAAGACGGCATACTCGGAGAAAATGGCAAACCAGTATAATTTAACGACAAACGTAGTAACGCGAGCGGCCAAGACTCGCGCCTAGTTTGCAAGAACTGGTTCGGCAAGTCAAAGGCCCAGGTTTAATGAGGGATTGCGGGTGTTCATCGAACCTACGGGATGGATGCTAAACAGTGTTGGCTCTAGGCAGGGGAGAGTTTCGATGTTGAAAGGAAGGGACTCTCTGTCAACGGTGCCATTAGTTGTTTTGAACTTTGGAAACGGTGCACATGAATTTTAACTGAATCCGATCCTAGCCGTTGGTCAGTTGGAAGTAAACGAAAGTTCTAGGCAGCGAATCCTCAGGCACAAGCAATCTAACGCAGTATTGGGGTTATTCAAAGTGTTATATGAGGCCATAATCGCAGTAGTCACTAGGTTTAAGATGATACGGTAAACCCATCGTCGGACGCAGAGATAATTGTGGTATTCGCGTCCTGGTTAGCATCAGTTGGTTTTAGAATGACCCTAATCAGGCCGAATCTCGCCTCTTCAACTTCGTGACCGATATAACCTCTAATGCTTGTGAGATCAGAGTTCTAAGGACATTTTGTGAGTATGGAGAAGTCACGTAGCTTCCCTTGATGTCCAATAGTACCTCCCAACAAAAGTCACACGAAGTCCCGTGAATCGATGACTTATCACATCACCTCAGGACTGAATTAACTGGTTTCGTATTCACTGATTCCGTCCCTCTAATGTGATTGACTTCGGACCTCGAGTGACGACCACCTTATGGGTTTCCGCACACGGATGGGAGCGACACGTTCTTTTCGGGCAAAAGGTGAGCGACCAATCCAATTCGAATATTCGTTAGATGGCAATAATTTTCACCAGGCTGCTGAACTTCGACGACTGGAATGGTTGCGTTCTGCCACTCGCCAGCTGCGTCCACTTGGTTTGGTCATGGTCCGGAAGAACATCAATCTACCTTTTGTTTGTATTCGCGCAGTTGGGCTGATCGGGCAAACTGATGACGTTTGCCCCAATAGGAACGGGACCTTTTCACGCCAACGGCCAATTTAGACAGAACGGTCAACAACTACGGTTGGAGAGGTTTACGACTGCATATGTTCTCTCAACAGAACGGTCACTACGGTTGGAGAGGTTTACGACTGCATATGTTCTCTCAAGCGCCACCGAGCTCCCGGTCCGGATGAACTTCCACCCGCCCGCACCAAAGACGGTGGTGAAGTCCTCAGTCAGCGCCTGATCGACCTGTTTGCTTGCATTTGGGAAAAGGAGTCTGTCCCAGACAACTGGGGTGAATCGGTGATAGTGCCCGTTTCCAAAAAAGGGGCGCGTAGTGAGTGTCGTAACCACAGGGGGATCAGCCTGACCCCGGTTGTAACGAGACTGTTGGCGTCAATTGTGCTTCGTCGCCTTACGGTGGCTCGTGAGATACTGACTCGAGAGCAGCAAGCGGGATTCCG